GAAAAAAAGAAAAAGGAAAAAGAAAAAGAAATAAAAGAAATAAAAAGAAAGAAAAGAAAGAGAAAAAAGTTGCTGAGCTGCTCTTTTTCACTGCTGAAGCCCAAACCACTCCTTGGTTGCCCCAGGCGGGCCCTGAGATGCAGCTTCTTGCTCAGGCGGTCACCTTGCCCAGCCCAGCCCCAAACCTCGTGGCCACATGGGGCCCATCGGTGACCACGGCACAGCCCCTGTGGGCTCACGACAGGGACAGGAGGACACGGGTGACCTCACATCCCGTCTCCCGGGTTGCGTCAGGGCACGGGAACGGGCTGGGCTGTGTTTGCTCGCCCCACGGTGCTTCCCCTTCCCGGCAGCTGGAGGGAGGCCCCCCCGGGCGATGGGCCACGGCCACGGCTTTGGGAACACCTGAAAATCCGGCTCGGCTGGGGCTGACCGTCTCTCACGTGAGCTAACCTGGCCTGAAACACACTGTTCGTGGTCAGGAAAAAGCAAATACGTTTAATAAATCAATCAATGCACTTAATTATGAGGCCAGAGAAGGAAGAGATGTAAGACACTGATAAATGGAGAGATTCTACATTTAAAGAAGAAGTGATTTATTCATTTTGTTAAAAGCTTGTTGTTTCCATCCCTTATACCCTCCTCCTCCCACCCCAGGATCTGTTAAACAAGTCCCTGTCTCTACTAGGTGTTTTAGGTCACTTAAAATAATCAGCTCCACATGTTATCAGCACCTGCAGCCCAAAGTCCATTTTATCAGTGCAAGGCTGGGCTGGGATGAGCCGCAAGGCTACCACCAACGGGGAGCTTGGCCAGAAAGGGCGAAACCCCCAGATTTCATGGCTTAAGGGGTCCCACAGAGCTGCTGTCGGGGTAGCTCTGGCACCAGATCAGGACAGCAGCACCATGAGGAGGAGGAAGGAGATGGTGGCCAGTTTGGTTTTTGAATGGTGCAGCTTGTCAAAACCCAGAACAGTCTGGGTTGGAAGGAATTTTTCAAGTCCATCTGGTCCACCCCACCCTGCAAGGAGCAGGGGCATTTCAACTAGACCAGGGTGCTCAGAGCCTCCTCCAACCTGACCTTGAATGTTTCCAGGGATGGGGCTTCTACTACCTCCCTGGGTAACCTGTGCCAGTGTTACACCACCCTCATTGTAAAAAATTTCTGTCTTATATCTAATACAAATCTACCCACTTTTACTTTAAAACGATTATCCCTTGTCCTACACAATAGGTCCTGCTAAAAATACTGTCCTGTCACTTTTATAAGCCCCTTTAAGTAAGGAAAGGCTGCAGTAAGGTCTCCCTGGAGCCTTCACTTCTCCGGCTGAACAACTCGACCCTCAGCCTGTCCTCACAGCAGAGCTCCTCCAGCCCCCAGACCATTTTTGTACCCCTCCTCTGGACCTGCTCCAAGAATTCCAAGTCTTCCCCTGTGCCGAGGACTTCCCTCTCACATGGGATCTGATCCTGCTGTGCACATCAACCTGCGGAGCCCTCCTCACCGTCGCGGTCCTTGTCTTGTCCGAGAGCACACGTGAACCCCAGGGCCAGCCCTGTACGCAGTGAGGAGCAGCCCTTGAGCAGCCGCCACCCCACCCTCGTCATGGGGATCTGTTGCCCTATGGAGGGAAACAACATCCCAGCCCCATCCAGTGCCCCCCAGGCCTCCAAACACACCTGGGGCCAGCCAGGCACCCAAAAACTAATTGCAATTTCCAAGAACAAAAGCTTGTATTGATGAAACCTGGGATTGGTTTGGGCTGTGTGTTTTTTTTCATCTTTTCTGCTTTTGCAAGTTTAATTTCCTCCACCTGCTATTGCTTCATGCCTGAGCAAACACTCCAGCTGCTGAACAAGCACACTGGGGCTGGGGAAGTCCAGCTTTGCGGGCAGCTGTATATAAGGCATAAAGCTGAGCTACATCCCGTCAGTACAGGAGCATCCTCTCAGCCAGCCGGGCAATGTTGGGCTCCCTCACCCTCCTCCTGGCGCTGCCACTCGCCCTCGCCACCGAGCCCACCAACTGCACCCAGCTCGTCCCGGTCACCTTCGACAATGCCACCGTCCCTCGGGTAAGCCCTGCCCTCAGCTCCCATTCTCGCCTTTCCTATCAGCATCACCAGACGTTAAGAGTGCAGGAAGAGGTTATTAACCTAATTGCAGCTCAACGCTCTCACTGCCTGTCTGTGATTATTGTCCTTAAAAAAA